ACTTTGGTCCCAGCTCTCTGCAGGTCATTCACTAGGTCCCCCCGTGTGGTTCTGGGATTTTTGCTCACCGTTCTTGTGATCATTTTGACCCCACGGGGTGAGATCTTGCGTGGAGCCCCAGATCGAGGGAGATTATCAGTGGTCTTGTATGTCTTCCATTTCCTAATAATTGCTCCCACAGTTGATTTCTTCAAACCAAGCTGCTTACCTATTGCAGATTCAGTCTTCCCAGCCTTGTGCAGGTCTACAATTTTGTTTCTGGTGTCCTTTGACAGCTCTTTGGTCTTGGCCATAGTGGAGTTTGGAGTGTGACTGTTTGAGGTTGTGGACAGGTGTCTTTTATACTGATAACAAGTTCAAACAGGTGCCATTAATACAGGTAACGAGTGGAGGACAGAGGAGCCTCTTAAAGAAGAAGTTACAGGTATGTGAGAGCCAGAAATCTTGCTTGTTTGTAGGTGACCAAATACTTATTTTCCACCATAATTTGCAAATAAATTCATTAAAAATCCTACAATGTGATTTTCTGGATTTTTTTCTCTCAATTTGTCTGTCATAGTTGACATGTACCTATGATGAAAATTACAGGCCTCTCTCATCTTTTTAAGTGGGAGAACTTGCACAATTGGTGGCTGACTAAATACTTTTTTTCCCCACTGTATGCTGTTTGACAAAATCATTATTTTGTAGTTCTTCAAAGTAAATAAGGCATACTTCTGTGACTTCTGAATACCAACTATCAATCACTTAGATCATGTATTTCCAGGTAGAGATACCTCGCGAAGCAACAGCTGCTCTCTATATCACCTCACGATCCTACGTTCTCTCTTCCGTAGCAGTTGTAAAAGAAACACAGACCGGACAAGTAGATGCGCAATGGATTATGGTCATTGTAATTAATTACCACGTTTTATGCGCTAAACCATGGTTCTTCAATTCCGGTCCTGGAGGGCCGAAACACCTCTGTTTTTCATCCTCTCCTTCTAATCAGGGGCTAATTCAGACCTGGGACACCAGGTGAGTGCAATTAACTACCAGGTAGAAATAAAAAACAGAAGTGTTTCGGCCCTCCAGGACCGGAATTGAAGAACCCTGCGCTAAACTATGTAGAATATTGGCCAAAAAAATTTGCAAAATGGAATTCTAATAATTGAACCCATTAGTTGTTTAAAAACCGAAAAATTACCGACATTTCAGTTAATCGCTCAGCACTACTGGCTAAGTTTCATTGAGTCAAAGGAAACCATCACCCTATGCAACTACCATGTGCAGGAAACCATCACCGTATGCAACTACCATGTGTAAGGAAACCATCACCCTATGCAACTACCATGTGCAGGAAACCATCACCCTATGCAACTACCATGTGAAGGAAACCATCACCCTATGCAACTACCATGTGAAGGAAACCATCACCCTATGCAACTACCATGTGTAAGGAAACCATCACCCTATGCAACTACCATGTGAAGGAAACCATCACCCTATGCAACTACCATGTGCAGGAAACCATCACCCTATGCAACTACCATGTGTAAGGAAACCATCACCGTATTAGGGCCCTATAACATTGTGGAGAATGCAGACGGAATCACGGAATCCAGACATTAAATGGAAATCAACTAAATGTATTGAACTTATTAGAAAATGCATTAATTTGCCCAAGGTAATCTTATAGATACACTATGCAGAAATCGCTCAGCCATTTCCTGGTTGCTAAAATTCTAATAGTTTGCCTAATTTCATTTTATGTCACAAAACAAGCAAGTATAATGCAACTACCATGTGCAGGAAACCATCACCCTATGCAACTACCATGTGCAGGAAACCATCACCCTATGCAACTACCATGTGAAGGAAACCATCACCCTATGCAACTACCATGTGAAGGAAACCATCACCCTATGCAACTACCATGTGAAGGAAACCATCACCCTATGCAACTACCATGTGTCTCTCTCACTCCTTCTAATGTGTTGGATGGATACATTAGCATGTTATGCTTAGAGGCCCACCTACTCAAAGCCATCTCTCCATGGAGTTGGTGAAAAATAACAGATACAGGAAAGGATTGAAATTAGCACATTCAGACTCATAACTCACAAGTTCAGTGGGACACGTACACACTGAGGGAGATTGAGATATCCAACCTGCAGTCCAAGGAAGAAAACAGTAGCACAGCGATCATAGTGCTTGACACAGAGTTTATGAATTCGCTATGGTGAGGGAAAATGCCATTTTGCAGGATATTTTGCGATTAAGGTATGACGTGCTAAGCAAGGCCTCTCTAGGGGAGATTCATCGTCTATTCAGGGTCTTTTCATGTTACAAAACATCAAGACAATAGACCCAGAAACACTATGTGCAACAGGCATGGTTAATGTCGAATAGGGAACCACGTCAGCGGTCTACATTACTATTTCACTGGCTAGGTCCTGAACATTGCAACCTAGTTATTTGCATATGCCTGGTTCATTATATGGTTGCCTGGGCTGACCTACTGTTTTTCTCCTGACCACAGGAGGTTGGTGGCATCTTAATTGGGGAGGACGGGCTCGTGGTAATCACTGGAGCGGAATCAGTGGAATGGTATCAAATACATCAAACACATGGTTTGATGCCATTTGATGCCATTCCATTTCCAGCAATTATTATGAGCCGTTCTCCCCTCAGCAGACTCCAGTGCTCCTGACCTATGAGGTCATGTAACCCACACTTCCTGGAAGCTGCAACTAGATTGTTCTGCAGGCAGAGCATCAGAGTAGAATGTAATTACATTACCAGTATATAATCGAATAAAAAATGCAATGAGATACAGCAACAGCATTGCAGGTAGGGGTTGGAACCGGTTTAGGGAACAGAACCGGAAACGTTAAATATTCAAGGAACAAAATCAGAACTGGGAACAAAAGTGATCTATACTGTTCCGGAACGGAACCAGTCACACAAAAAACGCAACAAAGTGCCTATGTTGGCTAGCTAGCTTCTCTGGTCCAACGTTAAGCCAACTCTGAAGTTCAAAGACAATCAAAGTTCCTCCATAGAAGCCGCACCTCCGTAGGTATAATTCTGTGAGCGTAATTCGTGTAATGCATGTCATCACAAGATGCCCAACGCTCCTCCACCCTCTCTCGCTCTCCCCCCACCTGTAACATTTCAGTTGTATCTAGCACCTGACACTTGTCTTTCCATCACGCACTTAAACAACTAGCTGAGCTATAGCTTGCCCGCTCCATAGCAAGCTGCTCTATCCACACTGCATGATTGGTGAAGCAATTTAATGTAGAGCTAAATGTAAAAAAAAAAAAAAGATTTCAGAGGTTTAAAAAGGAATAGAAAGGAATGATATAAACTGTTACTTTTTTTGGGATTCGAACCAGTTCCTAACTTTATTTTGCAGTGCAATGAAAAATAAAATAAAAAATGGTTCTGTTCAGAACTAAATGATTGGAAAATAATGTAGGTTAAAACCCCTGATTGCAGGTACTGTATTAACAATGGGCTTTTATGTTTAGCTCCGGTTAAGGCTCTGATTTTGATTGACAACAACCGTGAGGCATGTACTCAGAGTTAACCCCCATGGCATAGCAGGATGTGGGAGAGAAGGCTGAAACATAAGCCTTGAACTGTATTCAAAGACATACTAGCCATATACATTTGCCTTCAGAAAGTATTCATACCCTTTGACTTATTCCCCATTTTGTTGTGTTACAGCCTGAATTCAAAATGGATTCAATAAATAACAAATCTCACCCATCTACACACAATAACCCATAATAACAAAGTGAAAACATGTTTTTAGATATGTTTGCAAATGTATATGAGAAATATCTCATTTACATAACTATTCACACCCCTGAGTCAATACATGTTAGAATCACCATTGGCAGCAATTACAGCTGTGAGTCTTTCTGAGTAAGTCTCTAAGAGCTTTGCACACCTGGATTGTACAATATTTGCACATTATAATTTTTTTAAGCTGACAACCATTTTCAAGTCTTGCTATAGATTTTCAAGCCAATTTAAGTCAAAACTGTAACTAGGCCACCCAGGAACATTCAAGGTCGTCCTTGTAAGCGTCTCCATTGTATATTTGGCCTCGTGTTTTAGGTTATTGTCCTGCTGAATGGTGAATTTGTCTCCCAGTGTCTGTTGGAAAGCAGACTAACAGATTACGTTACAGATACACTACATGACCACAAGTCTGTGGACACCTGCTCGTCGAACATCTCATTCCAACATCATGGGCATTACTATGGAGTTGGTCCCCTCTTTGCTGCTATAACAGCCTCCACTCTTCTGGGAATGCTTTGCTGTGGGGACTTCCATTCAGCCACAAGAGCATTAGTGAGGTAGGGCACTGATGTTAGGCGATTCATCCCAAAAAAGTGTTAGATGGGGTTGAGGTCAGGGCTCTATGCAGGCCAGTCAAATTCTTTCCACACCGATCTCGACAAACCATTACTGTATGGACCTCGCTTTGTGCACAGGGGCATTGTCATACTGAAACAGGAAAGGGCCTTCCCCAAACTGTTGCCACAAAGATGGAAGCACAGAATCGTCTAGAATGTCATTGTAAGCTGTAGTGTTAAGATTTCCCCTTCACTGGAACTAAGGGCCTAGCCCGAACCATGAAAAACATGACAAAAGACAGTGATTTTCTGTGCGACAAAACTTTGTGCAATGAAGGAAAGGACTGCAGTCTCCAGCAAATCCAATTTAATCTTGATAAACTAATTCAGTAAAACCATTCACTCTCAGAATATGTGGCATTTCATAGCTAATCCATTTAGCAAGTTTCACAGCCTGCAGTCGTCCATTTATTTCCAATCTCATCTATGGCGCTGGTGAAATTGGTGACAACCACAAATGGCAACAGAATTGACTTTGACCTAAGGTAATGTGTTTAGAGCAGGTCACATTACAGACCTACTTGATGTGTCATTTTTGCAGAGCGTGAGCTGCAAGTGATGCGCTCCCATTGTAGTCAATGAAACCTGCTACGCTAGCCGTGTGAGCAGCATACGAGCAAAGCTTAGACGCTGGAGGCTCGGGAGTCTAAAGCGTAAATTACGCTTCAGGTCTATTTTCTAAAAATCAAGAAAATGTGTAAAAATCCTTACAGTGGAATGCACTACACAGGCAAAATGACCCCTTTTACACTGAAATGTAGTTTGTCAGCATAACACTGTCAAATAAAACCTATGTCAACATAATCTATCAAATAACACTATAGTAAATATGTATTGGCCGATAATATAATAATATGCCATTTAGCAGACGCTTTCATCCAAAGCGATTTACAGTCATGTGTGCATACATTTTTACGTATGGGTGGTCCCGGGGATCGAACCCACTACCCTGGGGTTACAAGCGCCATGCTCTACCAATTGAGCTACAGATGTACTGTAAAACACTAATTTGAAGGAGTGTCCACATACTTTTGTATATACAGTAAGGGAAAAAAGTATTTGATCCCCTGCTGATTTTGTACGTTTGCCCACTGACAAAGAAATGATCAGTCTATCATTTTTATGGTAGGTTTATTTGAACAGTGAGAGACAGAATAACAACAAAAACATCTAGAAAAAACGGATGTCAAAAATGTATTAAATTGATTTGCATTTTAATGAGGGAAATAAGTATTTGACCCCCTCTGCAAAACATGACTTAGTACTTGGTGGCAAAACCCTTGTTGGCAATCACAGAGGTCAGATGTTTCTTGTAGTTGGCCACCAGGTTTGCACACATCTGTAGTTGTCCTGTTCCCTTAGCATAAAAACACCCCCAAAGCATAATGTTTCCACCTCCATGTTTGACGGTGGGGATGGTGTTCTTGGGGTCATAGGCAGCATTCCTCCTCCTCCAAACACGGCGAGTTGAATTGATGCCAAAGAGCTCGATTTTGGTCTCATCTGACCACAACACTTTCACCCAGTTCTCCTCTGAATCATTCAGATGTTCACTGGCAAACTTCAGATGGGCATGTATATGTGCTTTCTTGAGCAGGGGGACCTTGCGGGCACTGCAGGATTTCAGTCCTTCACGGCGTGGTGTGTTATGGTCCCAGCTGCCTTGAGATCCTCCCGTGTAGTTCTGGGCTGATTCCTCACCGTTCTCATGATCATTGCAACTCCACGAGGTTAGATCTTGCATGGAGCCCCAGGCCGAGGGAGATTGACAGTTATTTTGTGTTTCTTCCATTTGCGAATAATCGCACCAACTGTTGTCACCTTCTCACCAAGCTGCTTGGCGATGGTCTTGTAGCCCATTCCAGCCTTGTGTAGGTCTACAATCTTGTCCCTGACATCCTTGGAGAGCTCTTTGGTCTTGGCCATGGTGGAGAGTTTGAAATCTGATTGATTGATGCTCCTAATCTCAGCTCGTTACCTGTATAAAAGACACCTGGGAGCCAGAAATCTCTCTGATATAGAGGGGGTCAAATACTTATTTCCCTCATTAAAATGCAAATCAATTTCTAACATTTTTGACATGCGTTTTTTCTGGATTTTTTTGTTGTTATTCTGTCTCTCACTGTTCAAATAAACCTACCATTAAAATTATAGACTGATCATTTATTTGTCAGTGGGCAAACGTACAAAAGCAGCAGGGGATCAAATACTTTTTTCCCCTCACTGTATAGTGTAATTGTATGTGTGGGGTACAGAGATGAGGTAGTCATAAAAAAATAATGTCGAATTACTGTAAAAAAATTGGTCTTCAACAGCAGTGGCATGTAGAGTACACTATTTCACCACTTAGCAATCGAGAGCAGACAAATCTCTCACTACATCCATTTGTCATGAGGCCAAATCTTTCCTCTCAGGCCCACAGGAGATAACATATTTGGAGGGAATGGATTTGCCATTAGAGAGAGTCCCAATTGCTGGGAAAATAAAGGATGTTCTGACGACCACTGACACATGATGGTTCAGCCCAAGGTGGTTGCCAAAGGACACACACACCGGGAATACAAACATGCGCACACGTACATTTTAGCAGACACTCTTATCCAGAGCAACTTACAGTTAGTGAGTGCATACATTATTATTATTGTATTTATTTTTTCATACTGGCCCCTTGTGGGAATCGAACCCACAACCCTGGCATTGCAAACACCATGCTCTACCATCTGAGCTACATCCCTGCCGGCCATTCCCTCCCCTACCCTGGACAAATTGTGCGCCGCCCCATGGGTCTCCCGGTCGCGGCCGGCTACGACAGAGCCTGGATTCGAACCAGGATCTCTAGTGGCACAGATAGCACTGCGATGCAGTGCCTTAGAACACTGCGCCACTCGGGAGTATACACACACACACACACACACACACACACACACACAGACAGACACACACTTTTCTTACAAATGGTCTCCTTCAGAACGATTGCCATCCATGACTATGTAAGAGCTCATTCTATTTGAGGCTTTTGCCACAAAAATGCATTAGCATAAAACACTAGGCCACTAAAAACCAGTCAATTGAAAACTAAAGACAAAACCCCCCCACGTCGAGAGCGCACAATGCATCTCCGTGAAACACAACAGAACACCAGGCCTCCCTCCCTTCACCACACAAAACATCAAATTGTCTCTTACCTCGTAAGACCAGACGCACTGGGTCCCCCCGAAGCGGCGGACGCAGCGGCCCACCTCCACATCCTCGTGGGTGGTGTACATCTCCCTGAGACAGGTCCCGATGTGGGGCACCATCCTTCTCAGCACCTCTCTGCTGAAGATCATGCCCGGGCCCCCCATGCAGAAGTTTTCCCCGGGCTCCAGGGCCAGCTTTCCCAGCTCCTCAGCTGTGCCCAGGCCCGTCTGACCCAGGTACAGGGGCTGGCTGCTGTTCAGAGAACGCAGGAATGACTCCAGCTTTTCGCCTGTGTAGATGGATGGATGGATGGATGGATAGATGGATGGGAGAGGCATTGTGTGAGAAACAGTGAGTATCAAATAAAAGATCTAGGCAGTAGGCAATAGGATGTAGGCAGGCTAATATAAAGCTAGTAGTAGGTAGCAGGCAGGCTAATATAAAGCTAGTAGTAGGTAGCAGGCAGGCTAATATAAAGCTAGTAATAGCCAGCAGGCAGGCTAATATAAAGCTAGTAGTAGGTAGTAGGCAGGCTAATATAAAGCTAGTAGTAGGTAGCAGGCAGGCTAATATAAAGCTAGTAGTAGGTAGCAGGCAGGCTAATATAAAGCTAGTAGTAGGTAGTAGGCAGGCTAATATAAAGCTAGTAGTAGGTAGCAGGCAGGCTAATATAAAGCTAGTAGTAGGTAGCAGGCAGGCTAATATAAGGCTAATATAAAGCTAGTAGTAGGTAGCAGGCAGGCTAATATAAAGCTAGTAGTAGCCAGTAGGCAGGCTAATATAAAGCTAGTACTAGGCAGTAGGCAGTAATATAAAGCTAGTAGTAGCCAGTAGGCAGGCTAATATAAAGCTAGTAGTAGCCAGTAGGCAGGCTAATATAAAGCTAGTAGTAGCCAGTAGGCAGGCTAATATAAAGCTAGTAGTAGGTAGCAGGCAGGCTAATATAAAGCTAGTAGTAGGTAGCAGGCAGGCTAATATAAAGCTAGTAGTAGTAGGTAGTAGGCAGGCTAATATAAAGCTAGTAACCTGAGCCCTAGGACCATACGTCAGGACTACCGGGCATGATGACACCTTGCTGTCCCCAGTCCGCCTGGCCTTGCTGCTATTCCAGTTTCAACTGTTCTGCCTGCGGTTATGGAACCCCTACCTGGCTAATATAAAGCTAGTAGTAGGTAGTAGGCAGGCTAATATAAAGCTAGTAATAGCCAGTAGGCAGGCTAATATAAAGCTAGTAGTAGGTAGCAGGCAGGCTAATATAAAGCTAGTAGTAGGTAGCAGGCAGGCTAATATAAAGCTAGTAGTAGGTAGTAGGCAGGCTAATATAAAGCTAGTAGTAGTAGGTAGTAGGCAGGCTAATATTAAGCTAGTAATAGCCAGTAGGCAGGCTAATATAAAGCTAGTAGTAGGTAGTAGGCAGGCTAATATAAAGCATAAGTAAGTAGTGTAGTAGGCAGGCTAATATAAAGCAATAGTAGTAAGCCAGTAGGCAGGCTAATATAAAGCTAGTAGTAGGTAGCAGGCAGGCTAATATAAAGCTAGTAGTAGGTAGCAGGCAGGCTAATATAAAGCTAGTAGTAGGTAGCAGGCAGGCTAATATAAAGCTAGTAGTAGGTAGTAGGCAGGCTAATATAAAGCTAGTAGTAGGTAGCAGGCAGGCTAATATAAAGCTAGTAGTAGAGTAGGAGCAGTAGGCAGGCTAATATAAAGCTAGTATAGGTAGCAGGCAGGCTAATATAAAGCTAGTAATAGGTAGCAAGCAGGCTAATATAAAGCTAGTAGTAGGTAGCAGGCAGGCTAATATAAAGCTAATAGTAGGTAGCAGGCAGGCTAATATAAAGCTAGTAGTAGGTAGCAGGCAGGCTAATATAAAGCTAGTAATAGGTAGCAGGCAGGCTAATATAAAGCTAGTAGTAGCCAGTAGGCAGGCTAATATAAAGCTAGTAGTAGGTAGCAGGCAGGCTAATATAAAGCTAGTAGTAGGTAGCAGGCAGGCTAATATAAAGCTAGTAGTAGGTAGCAGGCAGGCTAATATAAAGCTAGTAGTAGGTAGCAGGCAGGCTAATATAAAGCTCCAGTATTAGCAGTAAGGCAGGCTAATATAAAGCTTAGTAGTAGGTAGCAGGCAGGCTAATATAAAGCTAGTAGTAGTAGTAGGCAGGCTAATATAAAGCTAGTAGTAGGTAGCAGGCAGGCTAATATAAAGCTATAGTAGGTAGCAGGCAGGCTAATATAAAGCTAGTAGTAGGCAACATACCAGGTCTATAAAAGGTCATATCTGAGACAGTAAGTTCCTAGTTTCTCAATTCTCACAAAAATGTCCAAGTGATGTACTTTTCCCAGGAACATCTCTACTTCATTCTAACATTGTAGTTATACAGTCCATTTATTGTGTTTTCTCTATAGATTTAGGGAAGGCGGGGGTTGACTTTTGTTTGCTATGGTATAATGTTACATTTCTCCCTAACCCTTACCACCATCCATTAAGCTATTGCATAACCCATCTACAAATACACAACATGACATGGCTTCATCTCTCTGCCCTTACTCTCAGCCCACAGCATTCGTCCTCTTCATTACCTCAACACAAAACCCACTGGGCACAGACGTCATCTCAACATCTAGCATACTGTAATTTCGTTGAAACAACGTTGATTGAACCAGTGGGAAGCTGATATACACTATTGTAGTGGCATTTTTATTTTACCTTTATTTAACTAGGCAAGTCAGTTAAGAACAAATTCTTATTTACAATGATGGCCTACACCGGCCAAACCCGGACGACGATGGGCCAATTGTGTGCCGCCCTATGGGACTCCCAATCACATCCGGTTGTGGTACAGCCTGGAATCGAACTAGGGGGTCTGTAGTGATGCCTCAAGCACTGAGATGCAGTGACCTTAGACCGCTGCGCCTCTCGGGAGCCCATGAGCTCCCCCACCACCATTATCAAGGATGGCTCCCACTCAACATGGCCTCAATGAGCACGGTTACATGCACACAATAATGTGATTATTGTGGATAGTCAGGTTAATATATTAGTTAAGTTTAAAACGATTTCCCTAATAATCCTGTGTACATGGACACATCTGAAATCAGGCTACTGAAAATCGGCAATCAAAATAAACGTGCTCCCACAGTGACCATGTTATTTTTGCGAAGACTATTTGATTCTGAGTTCGGACATATAAAAGTTTGTATGTGAAAACGATTTATAAGATGCATATTTTCAGTTTTTCCGAACTTGCGCTACCCGGTGCTGGCACATGAGCAGATCAAACACACCACTGGAACGCCAATGAAACTGTTTACATGTCCTAATAGTTTGAAAGATTGCTCAGAAAACCAGCTGTTTTAATCAGCATATGTTTACTTCGATTATGACCTTACACCAATTAAGATAAGCAGAGTAAGGTACTTACACGACTGTTGCATAATCTGCCTTCTGCCATTAACAGTTAAATATCAAATTGTTAGTGTGCATGTACATTTACTCAATGATTCACGCCCATGATTATTGAGGTTTTGAGATTCACACAATCTAAAAGGTAATGACTGTGTGAATCTCAAAACGTCAATGATCATGGACATGAATCAATCATTATTTTCAGGTAATGATTGTGTGAATCTCAAAACCTTCAACGTATACATAGCTCTGATGATTATGTTGAAATCAGATTGATGTAACAACGGGTTAGTCAGCTTAAGTCAATCTATTTAAGTTTAAGTTTTGCCCTAATTTCAATGTTTACAATGCTGGTTGAAATTAGATAAAAACAGTATTGGTTGATTACTTTTTTCAAATCCAGTGTATTTTCCATGTTGATTCCATGTCACAATATGTTGACAAATTCGGTTGATTTAACCAGTGTGTGCCCAGTGGGTGGTTGTTTGTCCCTAAAGTACATACTAATGCTGTTGGTTACATCCACAAACCAATAACTAATATGCCTACTGTATGAAATTGGTATGAAGTACAATGTTGTAGATATGTTGCCACAGAGGTTGGTGGTGGGGGTTATTGAACTGGCTTCCCACTGTGCAAAAATTGGTTGAATCAACGTAGTATCCACGTAATTTCAACCAAAACATTTATTGTGATGATGTTGAATCAACGTGGAAAATACATTGGATTTGAACAAAGTAATCGACTTAACTTTCGTATTTTTTTCACCCAACTTTTAACCTAAATCCAATGACAGGGTGAAATTTTTTGTTGATTTCACATTGAATTCACGTTAGTTGACAACTCAAACTAGATGTTGAACTGCCGTCTGTACCCAGTGGTTTGGCTTTCTGGGACCAAGACTCCATCAATGACGCTTCACAAGTGCAACATTGTACAGTAGCAATACCCAAAATGTGTGAATAAGGAGGTACGTGACGGAGTGGATAATCTTGCAAAAATGTATCTCAATGCCTGGAGGGAAGCTGTTCAAGTGCTCATGAAAAATGTTTGGAATAGTTGACATATGAATGTTTATTTCACCAGCTGTTGCTAACTTGCTACTGTCTAGTTGGAATAGGAGTCAAACAGATAACTGTCAAGGAACTTCAAAGACGACCAAGAATGTATGTAGCCTACCCTAGACATTTTAAAAGAGAAAGATAAACTATTTCATGAAGGGAATTCACCTCGAATGTAGACATCATCATCTGCCCTCATGAACCACTCGTATTTATCCAGGTAATGGTCGTGCATGTACTTCAACATCATAAATGACTTCTTCTGTGGCGGGTATGAATCATCTACACCTGTCAACGACACCACCGGGACAGGAATGGGCAGTGGGATTGTTTCAGAGCCCTCGCTGGAGAAGAACTCGACCTTCCCGGGGATGGAACTGGTCCACGTCCTGTGTGCAGCCACAGCGCGCGAATCAAGGTACTTTTTGGCTGTCATGACGCCGACATAGAGAAAATGATTAGGTTTGGAAATAGGTCCCCCGCCATCTCCACTACCGTTACCAGTCTTGTAAACGTTCTCTTCCTCCTCTTCACTGCCCTCTTGGCTGGACAGGTTATTCTCCGGGTCTTTACGTAACGCATTACTTGCGGTGCTTCCGATGATTTCGGGCACTTTACCGATGCCAGCAGCATTACTGTAGTATGAGCATATCGACGACTTCTTTCTTTTCCCACTGATTTCCACTACCCTGGGGACAATTAGCCAAGACGCCGCTGTAAACCCAAGAAAGACCCCTACAATTACGCCCATCCACGGTCTTCTAGACCTAACGGCCATGGTTGAATAGAAATGGAGAGTTTAAATATGGTATAGACAAAATATATCCTCCGAGAAGTGCTCACTGGATATAGCTGTTTTACACCGAGCAGTTTCCATAAATGGTTATCACTCATCTGCGAAGTGCATTAGATGAGCAGTGTTACCTGAAGGTAAGAGTGTATCCCCACCTCCGTGGATAACATCCTTAAAATGTATCCAACGAGCCATTTATCCGCAGATAATCTATTAGTATCGGTAGACTGCCATGTCACAGTTCCGGGGAAACGTCCACTGAGTAGCTACAGTAGGTCGCTGGCAAAAGCTTCTTTATTTGTAATGTCCAGGGCGACGGAAGAAGTTGCTGTGCAGTCCGAATGAAATGCAACGTTGTAGACCACAACTCCTCATTACTTTCCAGTGGATAGGCTACATTGTTCCTCCATGCGCAAGAATTTCTCCCAAAAGTTAACTCCACTCATTTCAGGCAACTCGATTTGATTTGTTACCGCTGTCAAATATGAGCGTTCTCCTCAGTCTTGAAATGTCACGAATACAGTTTTGTTTGTGCACACTGTCGCTAGGTAGGTATATGCTACCTAAAGCTGGTTTATCCGCCCCTGACTCGCCATTTTGTTTACAGATTGACGTCAGGGTAAATAACTTTTCATATCCTCCGTCCCTCTTCTCTAATTTCTCTGCGTTTCAGGAACAGGCAATCAGTAGTAGCCTATGCATATTCATTGCTGAGAGAAGTAACGGGAGAGTGTCTTCCTTCTGGGCAGGCAGACAGAGGGCGGAGCGAAACAGAGCTGTTCCTCTTCACTGTGTGATGTCCGAATGAGACCCGTAATGGAAAGTGAGGCAACATCAGTTGAACATTGTTGCATTCAGCCACACCACATAAACCCTACATCTCAAGCAAGTAGTATAGCCTAGCCTATAGCCAAAACAGTAAATATAACCTACATTTCCATAATCACATATTTTCACAGCATTAGAATGTTCTGTATGGGATTTGAGCCCTTGAGGTCCACTGTGTTGTGTCGCCCTCTTGTGGTAGCGCACTATAGGTTTACAACGTCAGGAGTTTGTCAAGCTGAAAGTGAGCAAACTGTAGCCTACTACTACTACAATACAGTATGACAATGTATGAAAATTGCAACAAAACAATACAATGAACAGTCTTTGTGTAAAAATGAATGCTGACTTTATTTGAAAATAAAATAAAAAGAAGACATAAGTTCTGTTGTGAAATGATAGGTAACATTGAACACCAGATTGATGTGGCAGATATAACTGATAAGAACGGCACACTCAAAACAAAGGCTCGTCCCAAATGACACCCTATTCCTACGTAGTGCACTACTTTTGACCAGGGCCCAATAGGGCTTTATATAGGAAATAGGGTGCCATTTGGAACGCCCCCTATGTCTGACCTCCAGCTGCTGGTGTTTTTATACAATATATTGATAATGATGCTGGAGTATACGCTGCGCCTTGACAGATGACTAACTCTGAGCACCAGTCCTGTAATCAAAGAGTGAATCTCCATGCAGTCTTATACCCCTTTTTATGCAGAAATGTTGCCACACACCTGCAACAGTGATGTTCAGTGTCATTCAAGTACCTGTACTCAGACCTACTCTCAAATTGCACCAACCTCATACGCTCTCTAACCTTCAGGGCCCATACTCACAGGAGTCTCAGTCAGAGCAGTCCTGATTATAGGGTCAGATGTCCCTTTTAGATTATAATGACTGAGATTATATGGACAGGAGGGACCTGATCCTAGATCAGCACTCTGACTCTGAGATGCTTTGTGGCGCAGTGGTCTAAGGCACTACATCGCAGTGCTAGCTGTGCCACTAGAGATCCTGGTTCGAATCCAGGCTCTGTCGTAGCCGGCCGCGACCGGGAGACCCATGGGGCGGCGCACAATTGGCCCGGCGTCGTCCAGGGTAGGGGAGGGAATGGCCGGAAGGGATGTAGCTCAGTTGGTAGAGCATGGCGTTTGCAACGCCGGGGTTGTGGGTTCGATTCCCACGGGGGCCGGTATGAAAAAAAAAAAAATAAAAAATAATAAAAAAAAAATATGTAAGTCGCCGATGCTCTGCTAAATG